TAATCGAAAATAACCAAAATAATCCAAGGTTTTTATTTAACACCGTGGCTAGACTAACAAATAAACAGACATCACCAGAGCAAAATATACCGTTACAGTTTAGTAGTAATGATTTTATGAATTACTTCAATGCGAAAATAGAAAGCATCCGAAACAAAATTATAAATGTACAATCCGCTATGGTGTCTTATGATTCAGCTTCAATTATGGACCCTCTAGAACAACTACACCGCTTTACAACGATAGGACAGGAGGAGCTAAATAAACTTATCATTGCATCTAAACCAACAACATGTTTATTAGATCCAATACCCACTAAACTACTGAAAGAACTATTACCTGCAGTGGAAGAGCCTCTCCTCAATATTATTAACTCGTCTTTATCTTTAGGTTATGTCCCAAAAATATACAAGCTGGCTGTAATAAAACCGCTCATTAAGAAACCGCAATTAGATCCAAATAACTTGGCAAATTACAGACCCATTTCAAATCTTCCATTTATGTCCAAAATACTTGAAAAAGTAGTGTCCGCTCAATTGTGCTCTTTTTTGCAAGAAAATTATATCTATGAAAAATTCCAGTCAGGATTCAGACCGCATCATAGTACAGAAACTGCGCTAGTTAAAATTACAAATGATTTACTTTTAGCTTCTGACCAAGGCTGTATCTCAATACTAGTCCTACTTGATCTTAGCGCTGCGTTCGACACTATAGATCATAAAATACTCTTGGATCGACTACAAAACTTCACCGGTGTCCAGGGACAGGCATTAAGCTGGTTTAGATCGTACTTATCGGACCGTTATCATTTTGTCTGTTTAAATGGGAAAAAATCAAAGATAACGTCAGTAGACTATGGAGTACCGCAAGGATCGGTTTTAGGCCCTCTGCTATTCTCAATATATATGCTACCACTTGGTAATATTATAAGAAAACATGGAATTAATTTCCACTGTTACGCTGACGACACTCAATTATATATTTCATCACGACCAGATGAAAACACTAACTCATCTAAAATGACAGAGTGTCTCAAAGATATAAAATGCTGGATGACGCGTAATTTCCTGCTATTAAATTCAGATAAAACGGAGGTATTACTTATTGGTCCAAAAAACTACTCACAAAACCTCTCACAATACAACTTTAATATAGACGGATGTCCTGTTACTTTATCCACTACAGTAAAAGACCTGGGTGTTATACTAGACCGCAACTTGTCTTTCGAAGATCATATTTCATATGTTACAAGAACAGCCTTTTTCCACCTTAGAAACATTGCTAAGCTGCGTAACATGCTATCTATCTCTGATGCTGAAAAATTAGTTCACGCATTCATGACCTCGAGACTAGATTACTGTAATGCTTTATTAGCCGGTTGTCCTGCATCCTCAATAAACAAGCTACAGTTAGTACAAAATGCAGCTGCTAGAGTTCTTACTAGGTCAAGAAAATATGATCATATAACACCGATTTTATCATCTCTACACTGGTTACCTATTAAGTTCCGCATCAACTACAAAATACTACTACTGACCTATAAAGCCCTAAATGGTTTAGCACCTATGTACTTAACGGACCTTCTTTCGCCCTACAATCCACCGCGTTCCTTAAGATCACTAAATTCAAGGCTTCTGGTCATTCCTAGGATATCGAAGTCCAGTAAAGGAGGGAGGGCGTTCTCGCATTTAGCTCCAAAACTCTGGAATGGCCTTCCCGATACGGTCCGAGCCTCTGACTCGCTGACACAGTTTAAAACTAGATTAAAGACGCTTCTCTTTAGTCAAGCATTCACATAATGCTTACCTTCTAGTCCCTGTTATGCCATACGGAACCGTTTGCCACTGAAACTGCTTAACGCACCAGTGGGGCTCGACAGCCTTTTAGACAAACGGGTCGGCGCGTATGGTTGGGTTGCGGAGAGTTCAGGTTACGGAGAGTTTGTGAGTTATAACGGAAATCATTATGAACATCAGCTATGCTAATTATTTCCCATCTGCCTTTCTGCTGTTATCTCGGGACGCTTGTCCCGAGAAAAATGGCGTTCGTCAGGTCCAGTTTTGTGTCCAGCCTCTCACGGGGATTTCGGATGCCCCAACGCCTGTGATGAGAGGACTCAACGCCTGTGAAGAGACGACTCAACGCCTGCGATATGTTATGGCGCCGTTTGATTCATAAACAATATTTATATTTAATATTTATATATAAACAATATGAATGTAAGCCAGAGGAGAACTGGCCCCCGACTGAGCCTGGGTTCTCCCAAGGTTTTTTCTCCATCCAATCTGATGGAGTTTGGTTCCTTGCCACTGTCGCCTTGCTTTTGGCTTGCTTTGAGCTTGCTCAGTTGGGGTTATTTAGTGGTTAGCAATGTTGTTGATCTGTGTTGTGCTACTTTCATGTTATCACTGTGAAGCTGCTTTGATACAATCTGTATTGTGAAAAGCGCTATATAAATAAATGTGACTTGACTTGACTTGACTTAGCTAATTTAGTGTCACTGCAACAATAACCATGCACTTATCAGTCTCTATGCCATGACTTTTCTACAGTGCACTTTGGAGTGCACCTATTTTGGAAGCTACTATATATATATATATATATATATATATGAATCAGTCAATCATTTATGACAGGATTACTTATTACATTATTTATGTATATATGAATTATTATTATTTCATATTGAAAAATGTTGATGAGTAGTAGTAATGTAGTAATTAATTTGTATTGTTAATACAATGGATTTTTAACAATTAGGCTGTGAAACAAACCAATCTGGCAACACCGTTCTTCATTCTGAACATAATGTTGGATAGTTGAGGGCTGTTATGTAATAAAAATCTGAAAATCTTACATTCCCCTATGATTGTACCTTACATGATAATATGCGACAAAAATGAACTTGAATTCAATTAAGCTAGCTAACTTTGCTAGCCTGCACATTTGGTGCAGAAAGCTATATTTTTTTATAATGTATTTATCGTCATAATTAAGGGCCACCTTACAAATCTAAAGTTTCTGAACACAATTTCTTGTCCTGATCCAACCGTTTTTGATAAGTAAATTAATAAGTAAATTAGTAAATTTGATAAGTAAATTGTATAAGTAATTAATGAACCCTTCTACTTACCGCGTGGAAAATCGCAATGAACCTTGGGATCTCCCAGTCGGTGACGTCAGCGTTATTAATTTAGAGGATTTAGTAAAAATAATAATTTTTAAAAACCGATGAATAGAACACAGTCGTAGCATATTCAAATCAACAAACCTCCGATAAAAATACGTTATCCAGCATGCTCTAGTCTAGATAAAGCAGTGTCTTAATGAAAAGGAAACGTTTAAACTGCAGACTTGCACGCACATTGGAGCGTTAAACTCCAACACATTCTCACACCCCAACTCGTCACATATGGACGCTTGGGCAGGACCCCTTGGCGTCTTTATTGACGCACTGGGTATACCTTTGTCGTCATTTTTCAACGTGCAGGGTAGTCCGATAGACTTCTATAGATCTCTCAACCGGAGCCTGTAGCGTTGAAATTTGACGTCTTAGTAGCTCACCGCAATGGTCTGCTGCGAATGGGTCGAGAGTCGAGACTGCAATAAAAATGAATAGGCTACAATAAATGATCTATGCCAGGGCTAGTATAGTGGTGGTGATCCAACTGTTTCTACATGTTTAAAAACCCTCACAATCTGATTTCAAAGTGCCCTCTCCGCAAAGGTTTAGCGGGTTCATGTGCAACCGCATTCATCGGTGAGTTTAACAACACTCATTGTGTTGTACAACCATTCATCGGTAAGTTTAACAACACTCAACTGCAGGTAAAGCGGCATTCAGAGGGGAGTTTAACCAAATCAACGCTAAACTGCATGTAGAACGGCATTCAACGGTGAGTTTAACAACGCTCCACGGCGTGTGTAAGTAAGCAGTTTAAGCGTTTTCTTGTCGAAGGTTAACGTTACTGGCATCCATGATGTACACGTGCTTTAGAGCATGCAGGATAACGTATTTTTATCGGAGTTTTGTTTATGTTAATAAATATAAATATAATGTTTATATAAAATTTATAATGTTTTTTAATTTAAATTTGTATTTTTTTAAATCATCTAAATTAATAACGCTGACGTCACTGTATGGGGAGATCCCGAGGTCCATTGCGATTTTCCACTCGGTAAGTAGAAGAGTTAATTAATAGAGGTGGATACTATTCTTAAATTTACACATCAAAAACTCTTGAATTAGGACAAGAAGTTGTGTTTAGAACCTTTAGATGTGTAAGGTGCCAATTTATTTTGACAGTAAATGATGGAAAGAGACAATATGAAAATATAGCTTGATGCTGCACCAAATGTGCAGGCCAGCAAAGTTAATTGAATTCAAGTTTTTGTCAAATTTTGTTGCATATAATCCTATGAAATAATCATGTAAGGCAATACTAGTGGAGATTTTAAGGTTTTCAGTATTACATTAGCACACAACTGTTATTCAACATTATAAATGTTCAGATGAAGAACGGTGTTGCCAGATTGGTTTGTTTTACAGCCTATTTGTTTAAAATCCACGCAAAATTATATAATTAACACCCAAACAAATCGTATAATTAATGTATAATTAATGTAATAAGTAATTATATCATAACTTATTGACTGATTCTTATATGAATTATATATAATTTTAGACAACATTTCTTGTCTAATTATTTTCTAAGTCATTAACAATATTAACTTCTAGTTTATTGAACTGTATACAATGAATATCACATAAAATATAGCCCATTCTGGCAACACAGATGAAGAGAATACTGGTGTAAAATGTTCAATTCTGTTTTTTCTTTAGGACCCTCAAAATTGGCAGCTTCTAAAAAGAGTTTCATCTCATGATCTTGGATAACTTGGTTGATGACCAAGAACTGAAAGATGAGCTCCAAAGTTTTGATGACCTTCTTGATGAGCTGCAGGAAGAGGAGGCAGCAGCAGCAGCACCAGTGAAGACACCTGAACCGAGGGTGGTTTGGAGAAAAAGAGACAATACTGGAAATATCGTTCATGCGAGGCCAAGATCAAGCAGGAATCATTCAGATAAGGGTCAGTATTGTTTTTCATTCAAGATATATTGTAGATTGTTTAACCACTTATGAGTGTATATGTTACAATACATGTATAGCGTAATATGGCAGGGAAACAGTCAACCCAGAATCAGTCATTTGATTTTTTGCATAAAAAGTAGATTAATGAAAGATATCATTAGTCTTGGATTAAGTGAAAGACACATTCAGGTTAATATTAGATATTTCTGCAAAGCATAAAAAATAGTTTAATTGTGGGCTGTATTGACATTGTCAGGCATTCTTGTCAAAGTGGTTAATATAACGTCAAATGAGATAGCCTGCTTACCATCATACTTAATCTCTTTCAAGTTATTGGTCTTGGCAAGGCTGTGTTTGAAACACTTTATTCTTCAGAGTGTGTTGTCAATTGCCAACCAACGTGTTTCTTTTTAATCTGCTTCTATATAAGGATTCATATTTGCTGTCATCATCTATATGACACCTTATATGCAGATAACCAATAGTAATTGGACTTCCCCCATTAGGGTTTGGAAAATAAGTGTACTAATATTTCTCTCTAGCTCTATGTTAAACAGTGAGCTTGCACCATTTTAGGCGGGCAACCAGGCATTGGGACAAGTTATAAATGTTGATTTGTGTTGTTTTTATACTCTACAGCTGATCACATTCGGAAGACTGATCCTCCCTTCATTGCTCCTGACCCTAACTGTGAGGTGGCCTTTACTCCAGAGACTGTTGGTGTGTACTTCATTGTGTCACCATTAGCCCTTGTATATATATATATATATATATATATATATATATATATATATATATATATGATATTTATGAAATTTATGACAGTGGGTTAGAATGTAAATAAATGTTCCTACTTTAAACTTTGGTAGAATACTGATCCTTTCACAGCCAAATTGAGTACACTTTAATATTGTAAATATATATATATATATATATATATATATATATATATATATATATACACATACATGGAATGAATTTTTTTAATATTCCATACCATTTACAGAGTGTTTTCTACAAGATCTCCAACACTCACTAAGTGAATTCTCTGGTGATGAAGCATCACCTCTTGAAACCCCAAGAGATCCTCTTCTGGCTTCCTCAAACTGGAGCAAAAGACAAAGTCTCTTTTCAGAGAGGTGGAGGGCAGAGAGACCCCGCCTGGTAAACACGGCTGCGGAAAGGGAACATGTGGCAACAGTGTGGGAGTAATCCAGCGGCTGTCCGGTGTTGTGACTGTAGACCACGTCCCTTCTTCTGTGCTGAATGTGACGTCAGCATGCACACCAGACATGTTCTTCACAACAGAGATGCCATGACTGCTGGATTCTTCCAACCATTGCCTCCAACAACTTACGTGGTGGATAAGGCTCTTTCCCATTGTGGTAAGTTCTGGTTTGTATAATTTTCAGAATAGTTAAGCTCATAAGCTTTATTATTTAAATTATGCCTTTTTTCCATTATTGTTTTATCTTGGATTTATCTTCATTGCCATTGATCTATTACAATCTCAGTCAATACAAATTGATCATAATTCAATTGTACCATATGTTCTTTTTCAGTCCGGCTTGTACCTGTGGAGATGCCTGACAAAATCTGTGGTTGCTCACCAGAGTCATTGAGGGTTAGTCCAGGAAAGACTGTTGCTCTGGTCACAATGAATGGTAAGAATGTGAAGAACTTTATTTTGTCCTGTTTAAGAAGCATCTTAAAAAATAAATATATATCCATACGTGACTACCTACAAGTTTGACATTGATATAAAACTTTTAAAGTAATGTATAAATTGTACAAAGAACACAAATCCTGGTTTACATTACAGTGGATGTGTTTTTGATATTTCCAGGACGACATGATCTAAGCATGCCCGAGTTAATTTGTGAGGCATGCCAAGCCACTTGGACTTCTGGAGTCGCTGACCTAAACAGAAGTGACTACTGGCCTGCAACCCTTCAATTTGCCACAGTTTATGCCACAGATGTCTTTTTTTCATTTGAAGAAATGAAGATGGCGGCACCAGGACTGTCCTGCCAAGCATTTTTAAGAATGCTGAATCAGCGAACTGTCCGCTTTGGTCGTGTGAGTACTTAATTTATCTATCCTGCAGTGTTGTTGATATTTGTTGAGTTGTGGTTTGATAAACTGTTTGATGCTAATTTATTTGTTGTACATTATTAGCTGTTGGTTTCCTTGTTTTTAATAGACTGGCAAGATCTCAGCGGACAGTTTTCTGAAAAGTTTTTTTGAGTGGGAGGCTGTGCGATTTGAGTTGGACAATATGTGCAAGGAAGAACCCTTTAACCAGGGACGTGCACAGGGGGGTTGCTCAGGTTGCCCGGGCAACTGCCCATATACCCTTCTCGACTCATGTTACCCTTCCGAGGAAAAAAAATAATTGTTCAATGGATGTAGATTTTCACGTAGGCCTAGACAAAAAATAATATAAAAATCGCAAAGCCTCATTCACTTCCAAAAAAAAAAAGTGAAAGTCAAACTGTTTCCACGCGACCATAGACTGCACGCGACCGGTGCGTATGGTAAGGCACCGCAAATTACTCAGGCCGCGCCTCCATGTACGAAGTCCATACAATGAAGCGAAATTATCCTTCTCGTCAGGAAAAGAGGAAGAAGAAAAACATGAGAGTGAATTGCGGGAACAGCAGTCAGGTAAACCTGTGTTCTCTCCTCTCTAGTGTCAGCAAAGTTTGATGTCTGGGCAGGCAGTGCATCTCTTGCATCACTTTTTGCCTGACAAAAGTGAGAGTAAAATACTATTATTTATTACGTTTTGTTTTTGATAAACGACAAAGTGCAACAACAGTGTTTGTTTACTGCAGCTCGGAAAACATAACCGCGTCGCGTGTGTTGTGTTCATATGCGCGTGCACGAAATGAAACTCGCATTTTTCAAGCAGAAATGTGGAGACCAGAGAAATACTACAATACGTGAATGATGGCACTCCCAATCAAAGTACACATTATAAAGACACTGATTATCTAGTCTCAGTGTAGTTAAAAACTCTAAACAACTGCACTAATTATGCAAGATATAACCAATGTATTGGCAATTTGACATTGATTGACTATTGATTTATAGGCTATATTGAATTTAAAATGATGATTAGATGGACATTCTGGTCAATATGAATGCAAATCCCTCAGTAAATAACCATAAATCAAGATTTGCTTCAACATGCATAAAAAAAATTAAAAAAAATCATAGGCTACTGATTCCGAAAACACCCTGGCTGTAGAGTGAACAAGTTAATCCCAAAAGCCAAAGTTCAGGGTTGTACTTTATTATTTTCTTCTTGTTTATGTTTACATTTATATTCACTTGTTATCTTAACATTCTATAAAAATGCTTTATTCAGTAAATATTGTTTGTTTGAACCTCATTCTGTTATATTGTTGTACTTATTCTTTGACTGTTTTGTTTAAAGGAGGGAGGATTGTATTGGGCGGTATTGAGTGGCAATGGCAAATGGTTTACATGGCTCACGGCATCACAGATCAGGTAGAGGGCCCCTTAGCAGAATTTTGCTTATAGGGCCCCAGGGGGAGGTCAGGATTGGCAAAAAAAAGAATTATATTTTTTCCCGAAATCGTTTTTTATTTTTTCGAGTTTTTTCCATTCAATCCAGATTATTTCTTTTCAAATAAATAAATAAATAATAATTAAAAAAACAATAAACAACAATATGAGGAACTCTTTTGCTCATTTGTCTCATCTCTGACATTTTGCAATCTTTATAAATAATAATAAGACCATAAGATGAGGCATTGCGTTTGGACATAAACACGGCCAGATAAGGCAATTTGGAAGGGGACAAATTCAACTGAATATATTCCTTCATATAGCCCCTGAGGGGGGGGGTGCCCTTTTTTCAGGTCAGAGCAACTGCCCCTCAAAATTCCTGTGCACGTCCCTGCCTTTAACTGTCCTGCGTGCACCCCTGAAATGCTTGCAGTTTCAGTTGATGGAAACCGCAAGCATTATCGTTTCAAGAATGCTGCTAGGTACTCCAAACTGTGTATCACATTGTTTGTATTAATAGGAAAACATAACTCTTTAATGTGTGAACCAAGAAATCTCAGATTATAAGTTATCATAAATTGTTATCCATCACCAATTGTTGTTTTTTATTTTTTTAGATCTGAGGAACAGGCCATCTTTGAAGACGTCTTCATTGCCAAGGATGAAGACGTGAAAAGATTTGTGGACCACATTCACAACACAACCAAACATGTAAAATTTTGTAAAACCTCTTTCCGAAGAGTTTGTTTATGAGAGTCTTATTTTCATCCACCATTTTTCTTATTGTAGGTCAGTGGAAGAGGTGTTTGTGGAGGTGAGTGGTCAGCAGCCAGAGAGACCTCACAAAGATCTGCCAGCAAGGTAGACGAGGAGGGATTGGAGCTTGCGGTGTGTCGGCACGGTGTCCTGCTCTCTGCCTTAAATATGTATAGGGGGGAAATTTTTGCCTATCCCCTGTACCTGCAAGAAAAGCTGGCCAGTAGGCAAATCACTTTTTTTTGCATGGATGTGACCTGCAAATATTGGCCCTACCGCCAAAGAGTTGTGAAAAGCTGTCCAGAGCTCCAGAACCTTCTGAACATGAAGCCTTTCCTTTCGGTATTTCATGCCAAAGCCCATGATTTTAAATGTGAGGTAAGGAAACGTTGCTATATGATATAATTGTATTATCTAAATCTACAAACATCTGTTTTTTTGTTGTTGTTTTTTTTTAATTGTTTTTTTTTTATTATTATTCTTAACCAGGTGAAATGGAGTGGGGCATATCAGGATGGGGCTGGTCTAACACTGGGGGAGGAGGTGGAACAGTGCAATGCCTTCCTCTCTAGGATTGCAGTGACCACAAAACATATGTCAAAAGCAGGTAAGGTGACATACTGCACTAGGTACATCCTTATATACTAATTTGGAGGAATATGGTAACATCTTATTTTCTGTCTTTGCAGGACACACAGACATGCTCACTCTCATGGTCATGCGCTGGAATCAGCAAAAGGTTAACAATTTGGCAATCTCACTGACCCGCCGATATCAAAAGGTAATGACATCAGTAGAATTAATTTTAGATGTTCAGTATTGCATGTTAGCAGTGTATGAAGCTGTGCATCGAACATTTGGTTCTTGTTTCTAACTACTGTTTGTTATTGTAGACCACAAAATCTCTGCAAAGCCAGTTACAAAACCTAGAGACCATGAAAGCCCAATTGACAGTGACAGCGAGCCAATTGGAAGACTGGGTGAATGATGTAAAGGATTGGGCTGACGGTAAGGAAATGATTACTTGTAATACTGTACATTTAGTCACAAATAATTGTAATTGTTACTGGTATTGTAAAGTGCAAACCACACCTATTTCTTCTCAGCAGCAACAACAGCAACAACAACTACGAATGATGCTGATGCCCTGGCCAGCAGAATTGAGGTGCTGGTAGCCAGTATCAAGAGACGTTCCCAGCGTCTCTATAAAGATAACGATGGCAACAAAGGTCGAGCCAGAATCCGCCGCAAGATCAGGGAGGAGAAGGGAATCCTGACATCTGTTGTGGAGAAATACAACAGAATGTTTCCAATCACAGAAACTCTTTGCCTAGACACCATTCTGTCTGGTGAGACAGCTTGGCCATGGCAGCTCCCACACAGTGGTATGTACACTAGACTGTTGACTGCTACTGACAAATCTGATACATAATGACTTCAAATGTTATTCTGCAACCCCATACTATTTTAGAGGGTCTTTGAAGGTTGATGTTTAAAACTAATGATTTGTTTATTTATCATAAATGCATTCCAGACTCTGTCGATCTAAGGACAAAGAGAAGAGCTTTTGACATCATCATGTCAGTAAGGAGGCTTGAGGAGGAGCAGAAGATTCTTGTTGCAGAGATGGACCACCATTGGAAATCTCTCTCAGCTCGTTCTGATACCCTCAGAGAGCTGTCCTGCTTATTTTCAAGTGAGACACTCTATATTATGTATTTGTAATAAATTACATAACCATAGTAGCCTGGGAAAACCCATACAACTTCCGGCAAATGTAGATTTGCTCTGAAAGTTAGTCTGGCAAAGAGATCATTCAAGTTCATTTCCAATCCGTCGAACTCGCGGCACCAATCAGAAACGTTGGGGCGGGCTTTACACGATGACAACAGCGCTAGGATTTTGAAGCAGATTTTGTAGCCTACATTATAAAGTTGGGTGCCGCTGTCAAATCACTCGTTCGAATCAGCTATTGTGTCTGTTTTAAGCGCTTTGAACGTTTCCTTTGTGTTAAAAACCGAGCAAAGAACAACACTCGGAGATGTTTCTCCGCCGCTCTGCATACGTCATCTCCTTCATCACTCTGATTGGTTTTAGGTCTATCCGCGATGTCCGTTGGTGACGCCCCTCTGGAAATGATTTGTCTATGATGCTTTGCCAGACCATAACTCAATTATGAATGAATGGTCTGGTTTCAACCAGGCTATAGCCATAGGGTTGCACCGACAAAAGATTGCTATTAGGGGGCCCTAATAAATATACACACAACAATGATGACTGTTTATAACGTTTCTAAGGCTGGTATTATATTCTTGTGTTCCTCTTTTAAGATTCGCAATGTGATCTAAGTGGAGAGGGTTTGAAAGGTCTGCACAGCATCATCCTCAGAAAGCGGCATCAAATCAGAGAAATGAAGGTGCAAGCAAGAGACTGTTACCTCCAAGTTTTGTCCGGAGCAGAGAACATCAGCTTTTTGGACAATGCATCATCTGATGAGTACGACAGTGACGATGACATTTCTGATGATGGACTGTAATCTACAAGACTGTAACACCTTTCATACTTGGACAATAGCCTTAACTATGAATATAAAGCATGTAATAAAATCTGCTATTTATCACCATATAAATAAAACCAAAGTGTAACCTCTTCTTTCACATACATAGAAATGTGTACATGCATGCCTCTTAAACCAGTCAGTGGTGGAATGTAATTGCATTAATTAAAGTACTGTACTGTGAGGTATAGTAACTTTCATTAGTTGAACTGTAGGGTGTTGAATAACAATGGGCTTTATGCCCAGCTGCACTACTTCCTGAACTTCAGCCAGCTCCTTATTTCCTGTCTGCCATTATTGGCCAAATTGATTAATTCAGGTGTGTCTGATTATTGTTGCCGTGACTACTGAGGTCAAGCACACCTGAATTAATCAATTTGACCAATAACTGCAGACAGGAAACAAGGAGCTGGCTGAAGTTCAGGAAGTAGTGCAGCTGGGCATAAAGCCAATTGAAACCTGTTTATTGACATGGAAGAAGCAGATTATGAGGAGGAAAACCATAATGATGAGGAGGAATAATCATTATTATGATCACTACAGATCATTTGTTAGACAATAGATAAAAAAAAAAAAATTAAGAACAGAATCCAAAACACGCAGTTACCAAAAAGAAATGTATCGCAACTAAGTAATTTTGTTTTTGCAATTACGTTAAAAAGTATAATAATGACAAGGTGAATAAATTGTGTACTGTAAGCACTGCAAGTGTAGAATTGTACTGAATATAGGTTAACGCTTCCTTTTACAGTACTGTACAGTACTTACAGTGTACTTACCTAGAAAGTACTGGCTAATATAAGGTAAGTACATGGGCTAGTGGTAGGTTCAGGGTTAGAACATAGTTATTACCCAGTGATTGTATTTACTATAATTAGTATATAGTATGTACATGGGTACCGGGAATGTAAAATGCATATTGTTACCGAATATTATATAGTATTGAATGTCTTCAGCACTGTTTTGCATACTGTGAAAATACAGTAAAAGACAACTGCAAAAGACAAAAAGGTTACCGTGAAAAAAGCCTAAATCAAAAGCATGTTACAGTTTTTACCAACTGCCTACACACAAAATCTTTTCATGTCACATGATTTTTGAAACCTCTCACTCAAAGTGCAAAACTATATGACAAATCTTCAAACCATACGTTATTTCTCAGCTTTTGACTCAGTTTTCAATTGCATAAAACACTTTTTTTTTTTTCAAAACACTACACACAATTCTCTTAAAAATAAGATAGCTACACAAGATAGCTAAAACACAAAGACACAGCCAATCAAAATGCTACACTTATTCACCAGGTCACACACACACACTCCTCACATGTGCAAACATTGCTTACAGTTTTTCTCGATTGTTTACACACATTTTCTGGTACTTGAGACACAATGACCACAACATGTAACTCATTCACCAACCCCCTGAACCAATTCTGCTGAACTACAAGCACAATTCCTGCTTTACACTCAAATTGCAGCTCTAAAACACACTTTTTTCAAAACACTACACACAATTCTCTGCATTTGGCACAATTTTCATGCAGAAAATCTCTTATTTTCATGAGGAACACACTGCCATACAAATATTCACACTGACTCGTCACACGGGCAAACACCCGTCACACAGTTTTACAATTAGCGATCAGAGCTTTAGCATAAAATACCAAAACCAAAGAGAGGATGCAGCATAGATATTTTTTTTATTTCTTTTTTTACTGTAACAGCATAAAAAAATTCTGTTGTTTTGTATGTAGACCACTGTATGTGCAACTTTGTGTTGGTTGGGGTGTACAAAATGTGGGATCTATCTCCCATTGATTTTGTGTGAAAAATAAAATATATTTGTTACCATGTATTTGTGTGTTCTGGGTATAAAAAACAATATTCTCAAATATTTTACAACACACTTATGTATGTAATGTCTGTAGTAAGTGTAACACTGAACAAAAAAAGGCCTAAGTCATTATGATGAATGGAGAAGAAGTGTTTTCCGTTGATCATAGTGTTTTACATTGAGCACATCAGTGTTCAACTGGTTCTTATAAATGTCTATTCATATGATGGTTTGTGTGTGTCATTTGAAAACAAAACACCATTTTGAGAAGAAATAACATTGTTTTGAATGTAAAGTTTCATTTTGCAAGAGAATTGAGGGGTTTTGCCGATTGTGTGAGTGTTTTTAGATTTGTGTGTAGAGTTCTGAGAATATGAGGCATTCTTTCAGAAAATGTGTGTAAACAATCGAGAAAAACTGTATGTACATGTTTATAGTTTTGTTGTATGCTATGTATACAATAGTAATGTTTGGCCTAATATATAATTTCTGTTTCTACATTGCATTGGTGTTTACACGTACTTGTTACCCCTCTCAGCAGATTACTCTCACTGTAGAACATTGTATTGAAATGTAGATATAAGCCTATGAAAGACCAAAGAGCTTTAGATTTAGAACAGCAGTGTTTACATGGTATATTCAAAAGTGTATTATTATGAAAGACGTGTTTGCTATTTGATGCAAATGCTTCATTCTGACATGTGTTTATGGCATTT